TCTAGTCTGACAGACTAGACAGTTTTGACATTTTATTTTATTTTTTTTTCTCAGAATCAGCTGATTTTGGCAGCAGTTTCTTCAGTTTTAAGCTGACACTGTGAACAAGAACCTGGGCCGTATTCATAAAGCATCTTAGTGAATAATTTTAACTTAGTGAAAAAAGACATTTTTTTGACAAGTTGAATTTAAAAAATCTAACGTGTGTACAAAATTAGTTTGAAAATAGGCAAGAAAATGTCCTAATTAATAAAAACACATTAAAAATGTTGTGGATGGTCACAGGTATTGGAAATAAGCCATGTCAAAATTTAAGAACTTTTTAAGAGTATGAAATGTTTTAATAAGAAGTTTTTTATGGCCCAAGCACTTTGAACAATGTTGAACAACTGTTCTATTTTATAATTATTTTGTTGATGAAAAAAAAAATTCTCAAACCATTGATTTGGAAATGTACAACTTGTCATTGTCAGCTGGAAATATAATTTGACCTGCAGAGTTTCATTAATAAATATAAAAATTGGTTAAATCGTTTTGTATATTTTCTCCATGAGTGCAAATGGAAATTTTAAAACAAAGGGACGTAACTTGGTAAACTGAATCCGAACCGCAATACGGACTTTACCGAGAATATAACTGTAGCGCCACCTGTTAGCATAATTTGGGTATCACATATTATTACACCAGATGTCGCGTTGTATTATGCTTCCCGCATTCGGCTTTCGGCTATGCGCACTCTACCTTATGACATTCGTCATTCAAGATGAGTAAATAGACCCAAATACAAACAGTTGCAGGTTAATTTATTGAATTAATATACCAGATCAACAAATGAATAATAATTGATCGTTAAATAACGACATCAACATAAAATTAAGCAAGTCGCACACAGCAGAAAGCATAATGTGCATGTAAGAAAGCAACATGTAAAAGTCAGAATGCAAGATGTATATGTCAGAATGCATAATGTACAAGTTAGAAAGCACGATGTACAAGTTAGAAAGCACGATGTAACGTAGGAAAGCAAGATGTAATTTTGGCATAAATCACCCTCCATACTACAGTATTGGCCGATGTTAGAAATTGTTTGGTGGTAAAGAAATTTACAGTAAGACTACCTTAAGGAATTTCAAATAAAAAACTACTAACTGATGAAGAAATGATACAAATAATTATTTATCCAGTGAAAAGATAAAAAAATTTAATTAATAACAGCCTGGTAACAGCATTTGAACCTTCAAATGATTTTTTTTTCGAGATTCAGGAGGTGGCGCATTCCCATCTCACCCCCAAACATATTACAAATGTATAGCACTTTAAATAAAATCTTAGGGAACTCCCTGATCATAGAATAGAAAGCATGCGTGAAAGCATGACACACATTGAGCTACACAAACTGTGTCATTTTAAAATCTCAAAGTACCCGGTACACCCACTCTAAAATATAAAAATATAAGGTTTCCAATGATCTTAAAATGTGTTTTCTCCTAAGCTATCATCAATGAATGGATTTTTAATGCTTCCTTGTTTTTATTGAGATGGTAATGCAGGAAAAAATTGATCCTTAAATATTTTACCATCTTAGTTTTGATTTGCACAGAGGCCACCATTTTATCTACTGATGTCTCGGGACTTGATCAAGCATTCTTAAAGGGACTCCACTGAGATATTTTACCATGATGGGACAGGCAATAATTTTTCGAGATTAATGTTTTATTTGATGTATGTTTATTTCAATAACTTTTCTGCAAAATTTCAGATTATTTGCTCACTTTTTTTTCCAATTTTCACAAATTACCCAAAACTGAAAAGCGTTATTACCCTTTTCACTCAAATTAGGGTAAGAATATCACATAAAATACAATTTTCAATATATTTTGGAGTTATTTATTAATCATTTTTTGCATATCTTTCTGTTTTAAAGGCCCAAGCCCAATTATGTAAGAAATGCTATTCATAGCTTATCTTTTTAGGCTTACTTGGGTTACTTCAACATGTATTTATATTGTACATTTTTGTGTGTGTTAATACTTTTTTTTTAATGCTGTCCTGTTTCTTAGTCTTTGTTAAACTAAGAATATTAATAAAGAAAATTCTTAAAATAATTTCTTTTGAATAAACATGAATATAATGATAGTACATTTAGGGTATGATTTTTATACACCCATTTGTAAAAAGAACATATTCTTTTTATTCTCTATTTTATGATAAACTGATCGATATGTTAATATTTGTATAATGCTTTAAGTAGCAAAATAACTTTAGTAACAAAGACTCAAGTTCTATGATTAAAAGTTTACAACAATTTCTTAAAATTGTTTCTCCCAAAGACAGTTTTCACTATGAATTATAAATCAAATATTATATTTTACAGGACTGATGCTTGTTGGACAAGTTGTTAAACATTTGATAGAGAATCTCCATGTGAATTGATACTGTGACATTTAACATTGTAGTTCTATGGCAACAGATTGATACAGAGTTTTGTGCTGGACAGTGCCATGTGGGGGACGGATAGATTGAGCATGTTGATTGATGTGTTGCATGCAAAAAAAGATATAAAGGAACCATTTAAGACATTGTTTATGATTGGTAAAGACTTGAGCAGTTTTTATAAAAGACTATTGATTAAACATTCATTATTATATTAGCTTGATGATATTAGATCACCCTAGCTCTTAGGCAAATTATGTTCTACCACAGGGCAGCTGTAACATAAGGAAAATGGGGCCAATACATAATTGAAACATTTTTTTATTGTTTTTCAAATTGTTTTTCAATTCAGTTGGTTAAAATCAACATGGCCTTGATGACAAAATGGATTATATTATCAAGCAATGTATACTTCAGTTCTTTCAGTGCTTTGATTTTTCTTATGGCTGTGTTGAAAGTCTTCATGAAGATTTAGAGAGTATTAGTTAAATACTCATTCTAGCGGAACTTCTCAGGAGTTCTGTTTTCAAATCAAACTAGGGAAGTCAGTTTTATTACTACATGTAGTATACAATAATGATACCTGTGGCAGCTGTATTTGATAAACTAGCACGCACAGGCTTACATTTTAAAATTAAAATAAAAAGAAGTACACAACGTAAAGTTAAGCTAGTGATTCACAGGAACAATCTTAGTATTAATATTGATAAACCGACTGTTAAAACAATTTGACTCTAACCAGAATAGAGGCGAGAACATCAGCATACATGTGACATTAAAATAACATTGCTACACTTATCTACATTCAAATGAAATTAGTAAAGCATGATGTGCTTTTAGTGTTTAACTTAACGAATAAAACGTCCACAGATAAAATGATATTGGCCAATGTGAAATTAAAAAAAGATCTAATTCTTACTGGCTCATTGAATTTTTACATGGCAAAAAGTACAAAACAACATTTGCCGTGTAATTTAAGCTTAATGGACAGCAAAACTTTTATTTCTTTGATCTGTACATAAAATGTAGTACATCATCATATACAGCATAGTTTCTGAGTAACAAATACATTTGAGCCGCGTCATGACAAAACCAACATAATGGGTTTGCGACCAGCATGGATCCAGACCAGCCTGCGCATCCGCGCAGTCTGATCAGGACCCATGATGTTCGCTATCAGTTTCTCTACTTGTTATAGGGTTTGTAAGCGAACAGCATGGATCCTGATCAGACTGCGCGGACGCGCAGGCTGGTCTGGATCCATGCTGGTCGCAAACGCATTACGTTGGTTTTGTCGTGACGAGGCTAATTTCAATGCAATCAATCAATGCAATAATATAAAAGTAAAACACTAATGCTTGTAATCAAACATACGTTGGTCGTTATCAAGCCTTAGTTAAATGAAGTTGAACAAATATAAAAAATAAGATAAAGTCGAAATTTTGTTTTATCATTGAACATTATTCAATATGTTTTAAGTTCTAATACTCATAGCTTTGAATATAAAGGCTACGAATACTTGAATAACATGGGCATAATAAGAATAAAAAGAAAAATTCATCTTCCAAGGCTCTTACAGAACAACATTGGCATTAGCGTTCATTTCTATGTATTCTATTCCTCGTCCATCTTCCACTTAGTATTCTTAGGTTATGTGTAGAAGTTCTTAATCTATTATTAAAGGTGCAAGGAACATACCTAGATAATCTTCCTGATTGAAAGGTTTGCTTACACACTTTATATAAGTCTATCACAGAACTGCCGTATATGAAGCAGACAATAATTCGTTGTCTAAATATCGGAATAAGGTTTTTAAAATCAATGATAGAAGGTTTTTAAAATCAATGATATATGGGTTATTTCAAATATTTGTAAAACCATAGTCACATAAAAGCTTTTTAGCATATGCTACCCATTTATCGTGTAGTGCTAGCTGATAAACCCAGTACTTAACAATGCGTATATAAAGTGATATATTCAAAGCTCTGCATGAACACTTACAGAACAAGTAGTATTTCTTACTGACAACATCGTTTTACAAAATTTCAAATATAATCTTTCGATTTGTTTTGATTTTGTAAAGCACAAGAATCAAATACCCGGCATCATAAGGTTCGTTTAAAATAATACTATTTACAATTTAATAGCAAAGCGTTAAGCGCATTTAACGCTTAACCGGTATCGCATTCCTGATTAAATATTTAATTAATAATAATAATTATGTTAAATGTCCACTTTTTCAACAGTATTATCATTACATGCCGAAAAACTCGTTTTTTTTAAAAAAAAAAAACATTTTTTTCTAAATAAAACAATTTTAGATTTATGTATATTTACTTCTATCATGATATATCTGATAAAAGTGATAATCCATTCAACTGTGCATAATGTTGAAATAAATGCGACTAGAATTTATTTGACAAGTGTCTGTCGTTCAATTTTTAAAATTCATGTCTTTATACAAGGCATATTATTTCATTCATTTTAGATGAAAATCTGGAAAAGGAGTGACATCTCGAAATGAAAAAAAACAACGTCGCCTCCCCCCCCTCCCCCCCCCCAAAAAAAAAACAAAAAAAACAACACACACACAAAAAAACCCACAAAAAATCACACATGTATTTGTATTTTTAGGTGTCTTCATATAATTTATATCTTCAAACTGTTATAGTGTTATGAATGTGTTTCCGAATTATGCTTGCATTGTTTAGGTTTGTGAAAATGCATCTTTTGTTTTATTTGTAATCACAATTGCGTCCCCTTTAGTATAAAGTTCTGATTCAAATTTTAGGTGGACCGATGGCCAAACAACTTCATAAACTGTGCCTGCAGTTTTGGTAGGGTCGTCTATATTTCTTTTTAGAGATAAAACAGAAAATTGGTCTGCACACTCGCTGTACATCTTGCCAACTACATCAAAGTTGAGAGACATTGTAGGTCTCGACACTGTCATAAGCCAACAACAATCTATGTACTCGTCTAGAAATGTTTCTACTCTGTCTAAAAGACCGTGTGTTTTGCTTTCTTGACAGTGTTCAAAGAGAGTCTTCTCCACATGAACTTTATCCTTTACAATCTAGATAAAAATAGATTCAACACATTTGATTTGCATGAAAAGTCATAAAAAGATGTTTGAAGAACCAAAAAAAAAAAATCAACAACAAAGATTCCTTTCATTTTGAGTAATGGCTTGATAAAACACTACTTCGCGCAAAAAATGTTATAACATAAATGTGTTTAACATACATCTTGTAAACGATATTACAATTTAAATGCTTTTGCTTTCCATGTTACTTACATTCTTTACTTGGAGTCTCAAAGTATCAGTCTGTGCGTACTGTTTTCTAAGAGCAAAGAGTTCGGGATGCTGAAATATAATTTTCTAAAATCTTAATTAAACAAAGGACGTATATACATCTATTTTAGCCATATATTATATCAAATTTGATAAAAGTTAAAATGCATGCATTTCATTGTAGAAAATAAATTTATTTTAGACCTTTTTACCTTTTCAGATAAATTAAAATCAAATTGTAATTTTGACAAATTAAGACAATAATAGGTATTTTTTTACATAAAATATCAAGCTTTTAAAAAAGTATTTCTTAAACAGAAAATCAATTGTGATGGCATCATTTACCTTCTCATACATTGGTATGTCGTCACTTTCGTTAAGAATCAAAAACTGCCGGACTTGATTGTCAGCCATGTTGAGACATTCTTTGTAGCATGACTTAAATTTAATAAAAAAACATGTGTATTATAAGATAACCATTCATAAAACCTTTGATGAACGGTATCATGTGTTTCATGGAAAGTATTACTTATACATCAAAATTTACCTACATTGTGAATGTGTTAAGTTTATGGAATGATAAAAGAGAATTAAACATCGTGATTATTAATACATATACTTATATTAATAGAAAATAAAATACAAAATACAAATATATCATACAACTTTTATAACCACTTTCAATTTATTTCAGTTTTATGCTTTAATGATATCATATCATTCGTTCAAATAATGCCTATTAATTCGGTAAAATAAGTCCTGCATAACAAAATGTATCATTCATTCTCAAATCAGAAAACGAAATATTGCAACTAAATAATATTCAAATTGATTCAAAACTGTAAGATTTAATAATGAATGAAAGAGGACCGACAAATAACCTTTTTCCTTGTCACAATAAACTATGATTTCTTAAACTTTATAGCATTGTGTTTACGATTATATATGTATGAATAATAAGACACAATAAAAATAAACTGACAACAATTATTCTACCTTAATCAGCAGTGAAAGGCATTGAATAATCTTAACTTCTGGAATCTGTCTGAATGTTTGCATCATCCATTTGCACAGTTGAACCCATTTATCATCGTATAACAATTTGAATCTTTTGGCAATTTTTGAGGTGGAAAGGTCATCGTCACAATTTTCAAAATGGTTGCTGTTCTTCATCTGCCTCGACAATAGTTTGGTTAACTCATTTGTCCTAAAACGTTTATTGCAAATGCACTAAATACTTCAGTTTTTTTATTATCAATATGCAGTTGCATTTTGGTAAATTGACGTATCAATTTGGGCAATTAAAAAAACATAAGCAACAATTCAAAGAAATGCTAATGGCTTCTTTTAGACATTTGTTTTAATTATAAAATATCTTTCGACTGATATGTGAATATAGCTTTTACCACATTACAACTGATTATAACCAACATTGTGTGGTATGAAAAATAAATAACAACAAGTCATACATATATATTACATGAATCACATTAAAAAGGGGGGGAACAAATTGCCTATTATATCCAACTTTACCGTCTTTCTATTTCTTTCTTTTCCTGTCGTAAGCGAATATTCATCTTTTTAAGCATTTCAATTTGTTTGTCTTTCTCTTTATCACTCATGTACTTATCATTCACTGGACGATCATCTACTGTGTTCTTGTACCTCTCTTTTTCTGCAGATGATCTTCTGTAATACACGATGTAATACACGAAACACATTTAAAAAGGTTTTAAATGAAAAACATATAACATTATTTCAATTCAATTTCCGTTTACAAGTTTCTCAAACTGTATCGATTATGAAAACAAGTTTTCTGTCACCTGTATCGTCCATTTCGATAAACAAAATAGGATTCTTGTCAGTGTTGTATCTCTTTTCTTTAAATTACAATAGAACTATGTCTTTACAAATAACGCATAAGTTGTTATCATTAACTTAAGCGATATGTGCTAACAAACTTGCTTTCATTTACTTTATAATTGTTTTGATGACGTATATAATGTGCTGTCATTGTTCTGCTCATGTTCAGTGGGCCGAAAACTTATAATCGGTCACATGACACTCATAATCAGTTGAAATCATAGACAATTTCGTTACTATATATAGTAACAAGTGTAATGGAAATCAAAACATGTACAAGCAAGAATATGATATTTTGTAAGAATGAACTTGTTATATATGCTAAAACATGCAATTAGTAATACCTATAATCGCGGGAAGAACTTGAATATCCATCATCCCGATATCTTGTACCCGGCGGCGATTCTTCTTTACGATTGCTAATTTCAATGTCATTTATTTGCCATTGATGCTTTTCTGTACTAATTGGTGGTTTTGACCTGGCATCAATTTCGGCATCAACTTCCACCCTTATATGCTGGTCATGAATACTATTCTCAGCTGTTAATTGATGTGTTTGTTTTTCCAAGGATAAACTATCCCTTGAAGACACATTAGAAGTTTTGGGATTTACATATGATTGCGGATCTCCCTTGGCAAAGCCAGATATATTTTGCTGTTGTTGTTCTTGACTTGAATTGTTTAAAATATCTGACACAACTGAAGAGTGTTGTTTTACATTGTTTAAATATTTCGTTGGACTATCATAAATGATTCTGTCACGTGAATTGTCTGAAACATTTTCAGACCTAACATCATCATGCAAATGTGATTGGTGTCTGGCATTATTTCTATACGTTTGGTATTCGTTGGTTTCATTGCCATTAGCACATGAATTGTCTTTATACTTGTATTCACCTATATCGCCATATGCATTTGTTTCGGTTGTAAATTTCTTCGTTCCCTTTTCTCCTGATTGCCAATATTGCGTATGAATGTCATGTTCATCGTTTTTATATAGATGCTCATCAACATAATTTGAACTTGATGCTCTATGGTGTTTTGCACTACTACAGCTTATATGACTGCCAGATAGTGTGGAAATAGTGTTACTTTTTGGCATTTGATTAGTGTATGTTCTAGAGCTAAGCGTTTTGCTTTTATGTGTCTCTCGACTTTCATCACCATGTATACTTGCTTTTGGAGAGAGGAGCCTACCACCACTCGTGTGATGAATTCTATTTGTATCCGAATTATAATTAGTTATCACGTCTCTGTCTGTGCCTACAGAAGTATGTCTCATTGAACCGTTATTCAGGCGTGAAAGATTGCCTACGTCTTGCATTTCACCACCATGATAACCAGTGTGATATGATTGTGAATTGATTTGACTTCCTCGTTGGTCTGCTTTTCTTTGAGAGTATGGCAAGGAAGTGGCAAAATTACTTTTTTCTCTTACTTTTAAATTGCTATCATAATTTTCGAATGCTTGGTCTGTATTGGAAGAAGGTGCTTTAACACTTCTAGATAAGTTCCTTCCCGAACTAACATGACTATTATCTGAAAAAGGTCTATGATGTCTTTCTCTTCCTATAGGGTTCAAAGGGTATGCATACACATTAGAACGGCTGTTATAATGAGATCCTGCCATTTTGTCACTGCCTTTGACTACTGAAAATATGTTAGGTTCATTAAAAAAGTGCAAACATTTTTATCTAAATTTGAATTGTGTGTAGTTAGTTTGTATTGAAATTTAGCATTCGTATGCAAATAAAGATAAAATATGATAGTGATAACAAACACAAATCCGCACTTTATGTGTATGAACAATAAAAGAAGCGTGTAAACATACAACTCAATATACACAGTATAAGTATAAGCTACACAGTATACAAGCTACAGTATATGTATGGTATAAAATCAGTGTCAAAGGATGCTTGAAATTCAAAATATATATGAAATATATGTACATGGTACATGTCATGATAAAATCGGTTATCTTACCTTGAAAAAGAAACTTTGGAACACTTCCAAAATAACGTTACATGATTGTAAACACACGTATCCAAATAACGATATCGAATCAATTGTTCGTGTACACTACAGTCACGCTGAGCAGACGAATCATTAGTTAACAGTCTGATTTCGATGTAGAACTAAACCTCGTGTTATAATTCACGCAACAACTCTTTAGCAAAGAATATTTTTTGTTATGCTATTTCTTATATGCAAGTTGTTAAAATTTGATCAATGATACAACAATTTAAATTTAACCCACACCAGGTACGTATTACATACGTACCTGCCAACACTTAACTTGCAACTACAGTACATAAGCTTATTTTAAAATAAGAGTCGATGGTTTAATGTCACTTATGCCAACATGTATATATTTTGATCAGTGTACAGTATAAAATCTTATTTTTTTCTAATATTATGTACAAGTTTTATATAAAGGTTGAATTATAAAAATCTTAAAAGGGAAGCAGGCATAAAGAATACTTTTTTAAGTATATCAACTATACGACGTGTAAGCTATTTATACCTTATCTGGTTTTCCACTTTTCGTTTATGCGTAGATTTGCAGAAAATGTAATTTCCAATATTGCAGCATCAAGTTTCTCTTTTAAAAAGAGCATAAGTCTTTGTAATATTTGAACGGATTTGTTAAAATATGAATAAACATTTATAGTGGAATTTTATATAGTTACAGATTTATTTAAAAACATCAAAATGACAGATAATGATACAGGGATTGATGCAGGGCCAAGTCGAGATGACCCTGTAGATGCCGACAGCATTACTGTCGATACGATTGATTGTGTAAGTAACAATATTGTATTTTAACGAAGCTGCAGGTGCTCATTTTACTTTAAATGTTGAAATTATATAACATTTTGTTATCGTTTATTTTTTTATCTTGTTTCGTTTTTTCATTGGCAACAGTCAAAAGTAGGTTACAACGTTCTACAACTCTTATATTTATAACATAACTAATTTAATCATAGCTCATTCTCTAACAATTTTTTTTAAAATAGTTTAGCTGTAGATAGTGTATATTTATGTCTGAATTGAATGCAAGATCGATCGAAATAGCATATACATGTAGTTTGATATTGAATAATTCGGTTACCAATCATTTTTGAATGCTAAACTATGTTCTGTTTAGATATCTTTATCTGTGTGATAATATATACGTCTGTACCTATAACATACTTGATAAACAATTTGCAAATGGCTTTGACTAACTGGTATGATATCGGGCAATTTTACACATTATAAAAAATACCACAAAGAGAGTAGAATGTTGCATATTTAAACAAATCGTTTCAAGGTCAGCTGTGTGTATAGCATAATTATAACTATCTTAACAAAAAAATTTCCTTGTTAACAAGTGTAGTCTTGACAGAGGTTTATTTACTGTACAGTATACTTATTAATTCACAGTGCGATATGAAAAATATAAATATGATTTAAGAAGATATATTCATTTGAAACAGGATGAAGAAATCACACCCCGTTTAGTAATAGCCATCGATTTTGGGACATATGCGTGTGGTTATGCCTTGCAATGGAGATCCGACTATGAAAATGCAAACTGCCTCGAAAGCATCAAGGTTCCAACAAAATGGTCTGCAAGTGGATTTTGCACGAGAAAGACACCTTCATGTATACTACTAAAACCTGACAAAAGCATTGCCGAGTTTGGGTATAAAGCTGATTTTCAATTCAGCAAAAATGAGTCGCTTCCTGAGAGAAAGAGACCAAAAGACTGGAAGGACTGGTATTTCTTTCGCTTTTACAAGATGCGACTCTACACTGGAGAGGTAAGAATATGATATCATGTGAACAATCGAAATAGAAAATAATTAACAGCATGCATGCAACAGAAGATAATTTGTATCATTGTGTTAATTACCTAATTCTGTGAAAAATTTGATTCCACGGAAGCAGTGAAACACAATATTATATCGATATCGCAAACTCGGTTACGTGAAGCAGTATTTATGTCTAAACTTTGATTAAATTTCTAGGTCTGACTGCATGAGGTATTTAACTCCCGTTAGGTATTTTGCTTATTTTTTCAAAGTCGGTTTTTTGTCCTTTTGTAGGAACTTACAGTGGATACTCCAATGGAAGCCGCAAACGACAAACATTTGCCAGCAGTTGAGGTACTGGCAAAAACTATAGAGTATCTGAAGGATGAAGCAATCAATAAACTACGAGAAGATGGTGTTGTTTATCCAGAGGAAGAAACCAAATGGGTTCTTACTGTTCCTGCTATTTGGAATGACCCAGCTAAACACGTTATGCACGAGGCGGCAGAAAAGGTAATTATCTAAGTGCTTGCACATGAATCAGAAATTTTTTGAATTTCTTGCAAAACGTTTTCATCATAAATTTATTATGCATATGATGTTTATAAAGAAACTATATTATGATTAAATAAATATATCCATTTTAGCTGGAATAGAATTGAACTGAAAATGTAACTTTATTTGCCAGGCTGGAATAAATGGGAAAAACTTGTCAATAGCACTTGAGCCTGAATGTGCTGCAATATACTGCACTAAGCTTCCTCTTGATAAAATGGATGTCGCCATTGGCAGTAATGAAAAGACAAATATTGCAGCTCCTGGTCAAACACTGATGATTGTAGACATGGGAGGTAAAATATGTGGTTCTTTATTTATCGCATCCCTTTTCATTTTGCAGTTAAAAATGAACTGATAATGAGCATAGCATTGTTGAACAGCATTGTAGTATAACAGTGAACAGAATTGTAGTATCCTACAACATGTTTTACAGGCATTTTTACTTATAGAGATATACAAATCTCTTTTCCTTTTAAATAATTTGCCATACCAGTATTCAATTGTTTCATATGTTACACTGTTTTTCTTTGAAGACCGACCGTCAATTATTTTACTGTTAGTGTAAAGGATTAACTATTGCTATACTATAATCTGTGGTTTATTTTTGTCGTGATCATTCTGTATCAAACCGGTTAAGTTTTATTATTACATCTCTTTTAGTCCCCCATTAAAAGAACTACATTCAAACCACATTGGGTCAATGTAATAAAAATCCAATGTGAGTGGAAAATGCTTGTGTATGTCCATGTGTGTTTGTGTGCGTGGGTCTCTAGGTGTATGTATGATTGTATGGCCTTCTCTTATACTGTGGGTTGTGGAGTTTAAACATCTTCAAAATCTGGAAGAAGGAAATCCGTTTATACAAATGATAACAAAAACAAATGAGAAGAGTAGCATATAATTCACATCTTTGTACTGATTACAGCATTTTGTAAGACATTTTTAACCTCTATCTTCATTTTCCGATAATTCTACATATCTATAATATATCTAATTTGTCATAATAAGATTGTAAAATGTTTGTTTTATGTTCTAGGTGGAACTGTTGATATAACAACTGTAAAAATAAATGAAGACAAGACAATGCAACAGGTTTATAAATCATGCGGGGGTCCTTGGGGTGGTACGAAGGTCAATGAAAAATTTGAAATGTTTCTGGCAGAGTTGATAGGAAGAGAAACAGTCAGAACATTCGTAGAAAAGCATGCAATTGACTACCATGATTTGCGAATGGATTTTGAAAGCAGAAAAAGAGAGGTATTTCTGATGACAATATATTATCATTTTAAAATTTAAAAATCATTGGCTTTAAGACTTTGCATTATTCAAATGCATAAATAAACTATGTATTTAATTATGTTACTTTGAAAGTTTTCTCAGCATCAAAAAATAAAAATACTTTTATTACAGTGATTGTAATCTTGAGACTTTTCTTTATAAAAAAATATTAAGGAGAACACTACCCTCAAATACTTATTTTATTGCATGGAACAAATGTGATCTTTTTGTTTTATATTTTTACCTGGCAATTGTTTGTTTAAACAGATGAAAGGATCAGATGATCAAATACCAATCAAACTCCCAGATTCACTCCGACAGTTATGGGAACGTGCAGAAGAAAAAGAAATCGATGAGATTCTTGAAGAAAAGAAAGAATTTGGAGAAATCGAATTTATGACAGGGCGATTATTCTTGGAAGCTAAAATAATTCAAAGGTTCTTCCAAGAAACCATCGATGGCTTACATAAATATATAAATGAAGAAGTTTTTGCAGAGGGGTCCAATATTTCAGTAAACTCAATTATATTGGTTGGTGGGTTTGCTGAATCAAGTTATGTAATGCAAAATGTGAGAGAAAGTCTCCGTTCTCGTAATATTCCTGTAGTGAGGCCTCAATTACCAGAGTTAGCCGTATTGAACGGTGCTGTTCTTTTCGGTCAGAATGAAAAGATTGTAACATCACGGGTTATGAGGCATACTTATGGAATTGCAATGACAATGGAATTTGTTCCAAACAAACACAAGGCGGACGAGAAATATGAGTTAGATAACATGATAATGGCAAACAATGTATTCAGAAAGCATGTTACTATCGGACAAACCGTTCAAATAAGTGAATGGATTTCTTCAAAGGAATATTACCCAGAAAATGAGAGGGACTTAAAAACTACTGTTTTCGTTTTCACATCTGATTCCGAAGATCCTGTTCATACAACAGAAGAGGGATGCAAGTATATCGGCCAGGTTGATGTTGATTTCGGATATGGCAGAAATTTTACTGCGAGGAAGGCAGTGAAAGTGGAGTTCAAATTTGGGGGAACAGAGCTTAAAGTTAGAGCCATTACTTCGACTGCCAACAAACCACACGTTAGATATTTGAAAGTACAATGAACGTTACCCTTTCCCTGACTTGACTCATTAGAATGTTATTATTTCTTAAGTTTCAACCAAATTGAGCATAAAGTCCGTCTTTCTAGCTCAATGAGTGATAAAACTGTAAAAACAAGAGTTAACATATTATTGTCGTGTGTGCATGTTTGTGCCATTTTTGGTTCCTTCCATTTTTAAACCTTTTCTATAGTTGGTTGATTCCAGTATTCCTATTTGAATACTGTATACTGATCCTTTGGATTTTTAAATTTGTCTTTTGCCGTCTTGTCTGTGAAATGCAGGATTCATAACCTTTGATCCACTTTCAAAATTCCTTTTTATTTGTTCCGCCCATTTTTTTTAGTTTACGGCACCCGCATTCTTTTACTTGGGACCATACGCCGCTTTAGATGGAATGACACAACCGTGTCGCATCAATTGAAGGTTCCATGTGGATTTATCTAAATTCAAAAGTGTCCAAATGTTGAATTCTGCTTAAGCCGGTACCTTGCACTTTCAAGTACCGTTCATGAACAGGCTCAATCAAACAGAGCCCTCAACATTTTTCAATTTTGTCGTTTTGGGAAAGAAATCTTTCTGGATTCTGATTTTCTCTATTTTAACAATACAAAAAAAGTTTGCATACTATTTAAACCTACCCAACTGACATATTATCTTATCCTGCATACAGCTCATTAACAAAAAATGAAAACATTTTAAATGATTAATTGAATGTTTTGATTGTGTATGATTAGATTTGCAAAATAAAAATGCAAAATATTTAACAATGAACAACAGCAACCGATAAACATTTATAATAAATAATATTTTATTTCTGATTGTATTCTTTGTAAATAATACATTTTTGTCACCTTTTTGGTTGGGTTTGATGTCACACCAACACAGTGGATATTACATGGCGGATTTCCAGGAAGACTTCGGGTGCCCCTCCGTGCATTATTCAGACAAGAAGTGGGATTTGTCACTTTAATAATTTTCTTAACTAAATATAAAGACAGATTATCATCTGGTTTGCATGTTTTTTTTTTTGTTTTATAGTAAGCTAAATTGGCAGATCTGCATATGAAATATACAAAACTCAAACAGTCTTCTTTCAGTTTTTTAAGAGAACTTAACTAAATATGGTAATCGTTATTATCATCAGTTGAATTGTCTCCAGTCAAACAAAATGAACGTAATTAGTCGATACTTATAATATACGAAATGTATATACATACATATAAATGCATAGATCCTAACGCTACCCTACTGTGTCGAAATCAAACTAGATCTATTAGATTATTGGATTCCAACACGAGTTGTTTACGAGTTGCATCGAAACATAAGGCTAGGATATTTGTACGGAGGCCCGTTTCTTTCTCTTTTGTACAAAAACCCTTTCCCTGTCATCGCATTAAGAAGTATCGACCATCATCTATTTTTGTCCATTTTCCTTGAAGTCTATTTATAGCAATACTTGAATGTGTAATTTAAACTTATTAAAAAAGGAAGATAATTTAAACGAATATAATTTAAACTTATTAAAAAAGGAAGATAATTTAAACGAATGTAAAGATTTATAACACGTCATCTATTTTTGTCCGTTTTCCTGGAAGACTATTTATAGCAATTAATACTTGAATATGTAATTCAAACTTGTTGAAAAATGTAGATAATTAAAACAAATGTATAGATTTATAACAACTTGTACCTTTCTATATCCTAGAAGACTATTTATAGCAATACTAGGAATAACAGGTCAAAAAATGTAAATCCACATGATTTAAGAGAACGTAATCAAACCGAGTCTTAAATGTTATTTTGTTGTTTTCATTCTTTCCTGCGTGGCAATTGAATCCAACCGTCCATAAATTTTAATTGTTCGGAAGAATTTTCGCTGTAAATTAAAACTCAACGAAAAACACAATGCTGTGGAGTCGACCTTTTTCTATTCACTGGCCGTTTGGCAAATGGACTAGCTTATAGCGTCCTTTTGACGACAAGAGAAGGCACATCAAGCTAGATGAAATAGAATTTCCAAATGCCCATATGTATGTCACAGTAGTTTAAGCCCCATTGCGATTTTGTCAATGTTAGTTAATATATAAATTCTACGCATGGCGCAAGTCCGTGAAACATGGCCGATATGTTTCACTGTCAATTCTTTGCTATATTGAAATTTCACTACTCAAAATTGCTTTCTTTTTAAGATGGATATAAATTTAGGGATTCCATTTGTCTCTTTTGTATCGTCCCATCAATTTTAAGTACTGAATTTCATCCAACACGGAAAAAAAACACTAATCAAGTTTTATAACTTCATTTGTAACAAATTTACAGATTCAATGTGTTATTAGATCAATCTATGATCAGTATATTCAACAGTTTTATTCTGAACTTCGTAACTCACCAAAACTAGAAACATATTGTTTAATAAAAACAGATTTTTGTACAGAGAAATATTTATCAAGTATATCTAATAATAATCACAGAATTGCATTATCTATGCTAAGATGGAACGCTCACAATCTACTTACTGAAGAGGGAAAGCATAGAAATATTGACAGAAGACTTAGAATATGTACAAAATGTAATATGAGTAGTATTGAAAACGAATATCATTTTTTTCTAGTTTGCCCTTTTTATAGAGAAATAAGAAACGCATGTTTGCCGAAATATTATTGTCATTGGCCTAATTTGAACAAATTTAAAACATTATTATCTAGTACTCGGAGTAGCATTTTAAACAAAACCTCAAGATATATATATTTAGCCAATGTTATATATGTAATGACCATATTGCATTTTTTCATCATTTTTTAAAATGAGTTTGTAATTATTGTTATAGCTTGTCAACAACTTCCTGCATTGTGTCGATCTTGTAAAATAATTCAAAAGAATTATATAAGACTAATGTCATTTATTGACTAATCAATTATTATGTATTATCTACAACTGTAACTTTATAATAACATACTTTTCTCAATTGTACATTATATCCGCCATACAGTTGTGTATTGGCGATGAACATTGTATACTTAAGGACTATGAAAACGCACGCCTGCACTATATGCATTTTATTACATGAAAACATAACCCTAACGACTCCATTAGATATATATCATATATTTAATACAAAACGCAAACTTAACAACTGAAAATAATTCAAAATATTTGAAATCAAATGAACACCAGTAAATCGAAGAACCTAAGGTGAAAATCCCAAAATCACACATTTTTATCACAGTTATGCAAACTTAACAAAGGCAAAAACCAAAATGAAAATCCAAAACAAAGTCACTCATAAATGTCTTTTCTAAATGTCACCGTCGGGATCTCTAGAAACGACAATGTCCTCCATCAGCGTCTCTTACAGATGTACATCGTCGCCATATAGACATTACGGTGCGGATAGCCGCCTGTGGAATCTGACATGTAGTGTAGTTCAAAAACGCCGGTGAAGCCGAGAAATTGTAAACTTATGGACAGCAAAGCGGTTGGCACTTTTTTTGTAAGATAGACCAGACTGAATATGTCCTTAATCTACCCAGCGGTTATTTCTTTGTAGAACCATTGCATACAATTTGCTACAAAGTATTCAGTAGTGTTTGAAATTTAGTACCTTTTATAGAGGAAAAGTGTGTTCATTTTGTATAATGCAATTTCAATGTGAGCTTATACGATTTCTAAAACTGACCATTGGCATAGTTCAATATTCATTTTCATAAAGATTTTAATTGCTCATTTGTGTCTAACATTTCTAGAAAGGTGTGAAAACAAGTTAATAATTAACAGTTTTAAAAAATAAATAATTTCATTTCATAATTTTAAGTAACCATGAATTGGTTCAATCTGTTTTTCTGTTGTGATCTTATAACAATTAGCCAAAAGTGTTACTTTTGATTTTTCGGGTACTGTCTTTATTATGCAATAACTTCATTAAAATGCAATCATTTGTCATAACTTTGGTTCAATCATAGATAAAGTTATTTCGCATGATAAAAAGAAGCTATATTTAGCATTTGTCGATTTCAGAAAAGCCTTTGATGTAGTTTACAGGAACGGAATCTGGTTTAAATTATTATCTTACGGAGCTTCCACAAAGTTTGTCAATATGTTACAGAAAATATATGAAAGTGTTAAATCTTGTGTACGTGTAAATGGACAGCTAAGTGATAATTTTGAGAGCTTTAAGGGCGTTAAACAAGGCGAACCATTATCCCCTCTGTTGTTTTTATTTTTTATAAATGATATGTATCAATATTTATATGACGACTCTATTGACTCGTTCACTATGGACGAATTACATCTCTTTTTACTTCTTTTTGCGGATGATACGGTGTTAATATCTTATTCCAAAGAAGGGTTACAAAACCTTCTAAATAATTTACATTCTTATTGTTGCAATTGGGGTATCAGTGTTAATATTGATAAAACCGTAGTGATGATATGTAAGAAAGGTAATAGACCTGAAAATATTGATATATTTTATGATAATCATAGACTTAAAATTGTTACTAAATTTACTTATTTATAGGTGTTACTCTGTCTGCTAATGGAAGTTTTTTCCAGGCACAAAAGTCATTGTCTAGACAAGCTATGAAAGCTTTGTTTTCGCTTACTTCACTATTTGAAACTGTATCACTAGACATTAAAGACAAAATTAAGTTATTTGATTCAATGATCACTTCGATTCTGAATTATGGATGTGAAATTTGGGGTTTACATAAGGCACCCGATATAGAAAAAATTCATTTAAAATTTTTAAAAAACGTTTTAAAAGTTCGTCAACAGACTGCCAGTTCTGCGATTTACGGTGAATTTGGACGAGTTCCGATGATTATATGTCGTAAAATCAGAATGATAAAATATTGGTTCAGAATTATGAAAACCCCGAATTCTTTAGTTTTTAAAGTATTTAATATGCGTGATGATCATGGAATATTAGTTAACAATTGGTCTGTAAGTGTTAAACAATTATTAGATAATTTAGGATACTCTTATTTATGGGATAATACAGAAATCACTAACTTACAAATTCAAACAGTAATAAGAACTATTTATGACCAATATCTACAGCAATGGTTTTCAGAGCTCAAAGAATCTCCTAAACTTGATACTTACTGTTTATTTAAATCCAGTTTTGAATTAGAAAAATATTTAAGTTGTGTAAAATATGATAGCTATAGAATTGCTTTGTCTAGATTCCGGTGTTCTGCTCATAATTTAGCTATAGAAGAAGGGAGATATAGAAACATTAATAGAAGTCAAAGAATATGCACGAAATGTAATATGAATAGTATAGAAAATGAGTATCATTTCCTCTTAGTATGTCCTTTTTACAGACAGATTAGATTTAATATTTTACCTAATTATTATTGTCATTGGCCAAATTTGTTTAAATTCATATCTCTTTTAAATTGTCAACAAAGTAATACTATTAATAAACTTGCAAAATACGTTTACAATGCTAATCTTTGGCGCGATAACTATCAGGCATGATATGACTGTGTAATGTGGATTTATTTTATGTATGTTATAGATCATATATAGTATATCTTTGTTTTGTTATTGTAAGAATTCGACTGATTTAATTAATATGAATTCATGCTTTTCTCTTTGTATTTGTACCGCCATTGTATATATGTTATATTGGCGATGAACATTTATATGTTTTTGCCGAATAAAATATTGAATTGAATTGAATTGGTATCTAAATGACCGAAATGCATTCAGTTTTATGAAAATGTGAAAAAATATTTAAAAGAAATATATTTTTCTTGTTACAATGCAATTATCCCGACCGTGCGTTTTCATTGTCCTTAAGTATATATGT